GGCAGCTATGGGTCCTTCGCCCTGAGCAGGCTCTAAGGTCCTTACTTGTGAGGCAGAATCAAGTTTCCGTGCATGCTGGTGCTGCTAGAGGTCTTGCGAAATCTCAGTTTAAGATCTGGGGGCTCACATGGTGCTGCTTTATCACCGGTTTCAACTTCAAATTTTGTGCATCCTGGCAAACAGTCCCACAATACTCTTATTTATTTAACCACTGATATGAATACATTTACCAGTGAAATCAACACTGTATATTTTCTAGAAACACAAGTCAACAAAATCCTCTCTTGCTTTCCTGCCAATTTAATTGCCCCAGCTAGCTCGGCGATTCCATTTTAAACCTAATTGCTTCAAGGTGGCAAGAAACGTATAGAACTTTATTTGTTTAGGCTGTTTGCAAGAGGAAATACAGCCTGTCACCAACCACGCTCTATTGATGTGGTATGTGATTGCACATTGGGAAAACTGAAACACTTAAAACTGTGTAGCATTAAGCATAGCCCTGGTACCATGAAGTGTGAGACAAATGTAACACAGAACTCAAAAACCAAGAGAAACCCGCACTTCCATTGCAGTGAGATGTCTGTACGACGGGCCCAGGGGTCAAAGGGCTTCAGAAACAAGGCTCTAAACTCTCTCTCCGACCCTTACTCACTTAATCCTCACTTTCACTTTCTAGTGACAAGCATGTATTTTCCATACAGAAAGAAAAATACAAAGTTACAAAAGACTCTTTCATCCCCCGTTAAAATAAACACTAGATGCCCAGGGTACTAATGCATAAATTGTACAGCATTTTAAAATGCTAATACCTATAAATATGAAATCTGTTTCCTCTTTGAAAACGACACAAGTTCAACTTTGTTACTATGCCGAGCTCAGGTATGCAATCATATGTGTAGCGCTGAAGAACATAAAAGGTATAAGTGGTAGAGTCACACATGTAACAGAGGCACCATTTAAAATACTACTCTTAGGTTACTTTAGAATAAGTTTTGCTTTCATACTTTTACATTTTGAATGGTAAAATAGATCTGGACTGAGAAGAGCTTCAATGGAAATTTAGTTTTCTCAGAGTGTTTTTTGTTTATTTGTGTGCTTGTGTTTCAGTTTTTGTTGTTGGGTGTGTGTGTGTGTGTGTGTGTGTGTGTGTGTGTGTGTGTGTGTGTGGAAGGTGAGGCACGGGATACTTGCTCCCTCAGGACCCCTGAGTTTGACCCATACTTGACTGTGCTAAGGCAAACTGAGAAAAGTCAAAATGTGTCCAACCACTTGACTTTCCAGGTCAGCTATGAAACCAGATACTATGAGATTCCATCAAAGAGCATATTAGAGATGCCTGGGTTAAGGGAAGAAAACGTGTGTGTCATTCCTGACTGCCGTGATGGGGCATGAACTATATAAGGAAGCCACTGATGGATGCTTGTTATATAAGTAACTGGATTCCCTATAAAGAAAGTGACTACCGGTTTAAATAAAAATGTAAGCAACCCAGGCAAGGCCTGCTATTGGAGTTACCCTGGACTATCCTGCCTGTTTCCACACAGATAAGAATCCTCGTCTCGAATGAAACCGACAACTACATTGGCACATAACTCCATGACAGGACATGTGAGCACAAATAGTTGAAATAGCTCAGAGGGAGAAAGTCAAAAGTGCATTGTGCAATCCGACTCTTTGGAATGTCAGTGTGATGCATGAATCACCTGAGAGGCTTTGCCTCAGTCCATTTAAAGACATTATTCAAAGGAACTCTGTCTACACATCACTGCCCAAAAAGGAGACTTTCTTCTTTCAAAATTAAATGAAATCCTCAGCTAATTTCTCAGCAGCAGGTGTCACGACTATTGAATATGAGATCATCTACCATGTGTTTAGCCTTTGTGGGACCTGAAACTTAGACTCTAGGAAACTCTAGATTTGTAAAGAGCATGGTACAAAGAGCAGGAATCCTAGATTCTAGATTGTGCCAAACCACTTCCCAGACAGGTGACCTTGAGCAAGTACCTTAATCTCCCTGAGCTTTCATTTTCTTCTTTGTTAAGGAGTGCCCAAACCTTTCATCATGCTGGAGTTATGGGACAATCACAGGACAGTAGTGAGTGTAAGGTTTGATGAAGTCTACTGCAATGATTGCTACAATATTTTATTATCATCCAAGCAGAAGCTTCTGAAATTTACTCTGAATAAAGTTTTAATTGAAGATACAGGAGTAAATGAAACTGTCCAAGAAAACTCACAGTCCCAGCCAGAAACAGGCAAAGGGAATAAAAGCCAAGAGGAAGACTAATACTGAGGATGAAGGCCCGCCCACGAGCAGGAGGGAGCAAGGAGGGATGCCGGAAGGGGGGCTAACAAGTGCGTGTCATGTACAGAAGACACAGACCCAGAGAAGTGGTCATAGGCATCACACAACACAAGGGCCAGGAGGAATATCGCAACTAAATTGGCTTCTTCAGGTTTGATGATCAGGAAGGTGCAGCCCTGTGTCTATAAGTGAGTTTTCTCCTGGTCACGGGCCACCTGTCCTGCTCCTCCATACGTCGAGTGGTTTTAACTGGCACTTGACATCGTCCATACTGGTCAATGTCTGGATTCCTGCCTTCCTTCCAGAGCACTGGGCTTTGTTCTGGAAGGCTGTTAATTTATGTGAGCATCATCAGCTTGACCCTTATAATTCTCTGATGGGTGGTTTTTATGCTTTGTTAGAATGGATTTAGGGGAAGGCTAGTTTAGCCTTACTCCTGTGGTATGGCCTATTGAATGGCCTGGGTATTCAACAAGGTCTCTCCTGAATGCCCTGGGTATTCAACAAGGTCTAGAGGCTCTACTGAATGCCCTGGGTATTCAACAAGGTCTCTACTGAATGCCCTGGGTATTCAACAAGGTCTAGAGGCTCTACTGAATGCCCTGGGTATTCAACAAGGTCTCTACTAAATGCTCTGGGTATTCAACAAGGTCTAGAGGCTCTACTGAATGGCCTGGGTATTCAACAAGGTCTCTACTAAATGCCCTGGGTATTCAACAAGGTCTAGAGGCTCTACTGAATGCCCTGGGTATTCAACACATTGGCTCTACTGAATGCCCTGGGTATTCAACTAGGTCTCTCCACTCAAGCTAGATGGAGGGCAAATATCTCCCAGGTCTATGTGAACCTCAGTAGTTTTTTTAGCTTGTACTCCCCTGATAGTTACCTTTCCTTGCTAGTTGTTCTTTACCTTACTATTAGTTCAGAAGAATGTTCCAACAGAGACCCAAGGGAAACTCACAGTAGTCTCTGGAGTTCGTTCTCTGTGTGGCCCCTTGCTCTCAAGTACTCTGCCCCACAAATTCCAGATATGCATTCCCTGTGAAGTTACCTTTGAACCAGCAATCTCAGCCTCCCTGAATTCTGATCTCTATCACCTCGTCTCAGCGAGGCCGCGTGCTTTGCTTGGGCTTCCCCTTCCTGGGCCATAATGCAGAAGAATTATCCAGGCAGAAAACCAAGACACCTAGGGATTACCTCATTCATGCCTTTTCTGTCATGAATTATGTTCCCATACTTTCTTTTGTCTGATATCTACAAAACACATATTTTACATCATTTTCCTAGCTGTTTATGGCTTGAGGGCTAGTCCAGTACCAGCTACTACATTTTGGCCTGAGTCAGAAGTCCCGTGAGGGCTCCTAGAAAAAGTATGTTCAGTAACGGCAGAGGAAGCAGAACTGAGTTTTCAGAGGATTGGGGCATAAATGGAAGAAAGAAATGAGTCAGTACATATAGGAGACTAACAAAGAAGAGGGAAATGGAATCATGACTTGAGAAGACGTATTACTCTTCCTTACTACTGTTAGTAATCTATAATTTAATTCGGACAGTATTTCTTTGAGTTAATGTTTTTAAGTCCTTAGAAGAGTGCTGGACTCATCAGCCAATTTATAGGTTTCTGAGTTTAGAGCCCTAGAAGATTCAAGGTCAGCAATACTTATCACAATTGTAAAAAAAAAATATTGTGTATTTTCTCTTTAATGACCCTCTCCCCACTTAGATCATAAGCTCTATGTGGGTAGGAACTGTGTCCACTTTGTTAACTCAGTCTCTCTACCTATTAACACAATGCCCACAACACGGGCTCATAACAGGGACTCAAAACCTACTGGTTGGATAAATGAACACCAATAAACATTGTAGGATTGAGCCCCTACCTGTGAGATCTGAATCTGTCTCCGGATAGTGTCAGAATTGAGCAGATGTAGGAAGGACACACAGGTATTGACTGGGTGCAAAGTTGGAGAACTGGCCAGTATGGGGAAGAGCTTATTCACATCTGGTCACGGAAGTGTTCAGTATGAGCAGTAGAGAAGAAGAAAAAAAAAAAGGAGAGTTTTTCACACAATGACCTTCAAAAATAGTACCTGTAGTGGGATGGAAGGAATATATGTAGGAGAGACAACCACAGAAGCTGGCCTTCCCTCAGTGTGCTTCGTTTTGTAAATCTGATAAAAAGCCCATATAAATACCTGATATAATCGTAAGCAAAATTAATATTGGATAGGCAATTTTTTAAAAAGCAAAATAAAAACAATGAGCCTAACTGTTTAACAAGTTAGTGGCATATCCACATGGGGAGGAAAACTTCCAAGTAACTTTAAGGAATATTAATGAGCCTAACCCCTAGTGGTTTGGATGCTAAAACAGAACTGGAGAACAATATCATACTCTTTTCAATAATCATATTGTTAGTGATAGTTTTGAGATGGCCATTTTGAGACAGTATTATTACACTGTGTGTATAACAAGTAACTGGTATGAGTTAAATCAAATGAGCAATTATGGTGTTGTCACTGAAAACAGGAATTTTCAACATGGAAAAGATCAAGATATAAGGTGGTGGAGATGAATAATATTCTGTAGTCCTGAATTTAATTTGCAGTTATCAGTCACTATGAACTCACATTGTATCTTATCTTTAGGGATGTGGGTGTTTGTGTGTTTAGCTCTGTCCTCTGAAAACATCTAGCAACGGTGACTGATCCAGTAGCTATTAGCACCCCTAGCACCAAGACTGTGGTCTCGAAATACTGTTTCCCACTAAAAGGAACCAGGACTCATTGGTTAAATGACTGCTTCCAGCTTGAGGAAGAAAATGTTCAAGGTAAGTCTATAATATCTAGTCATTCCAGAAAGCAAGAAGCCAGCAAAGACTACTAGACTATGACCAAAGAATTCAGGAGCCACTTTCAAAAGACTTTCATGAGCCAAAGGATAAATTTAAGATTAATAAATTGAAGTATATCTAAAAAAATTTTAAAAAAATAAATTGAAGTATATCAAAGATGTTAATTTATGTGTTTATAATACTCAAATCACATAAGTCATATTTAGAGTGTACTAGGAAAACAACTCATGGTTTTGAAAACTGGTAAATAAGAAGACATAATCAAGCACATATAATATTTTCTGTAAATTTTCTGCTGGGTTTCTACCTCAGGGTAATTGAATCATACGTGAGGGGAAAATATCCTTTATAGACACGTTTTAGACAGTAAATTAAAAAGGAATGATCACATTAATGTATCACCATTTTACAACCCCTAAATCATTTTTAATCTACTCCAGGCAGATTGTTAATGGAAGCTATCTTTACAAAAAGAAGGATGGCCAGACATCGAAATCCTTATACTGCCTATAAAGAATTTTTGCATAAAAAGTAAAATAAAATAAAATGATAACTCAAATCTCGTTAAACCTCGAGGTCTAACTACCAATTTACAGAAAACACAGGACGCAAAGGAGTTACACAACAGGTACACAGCAAAATGTGGACCAACAACCAAGTTCCTTCAACACAGAAACTGCAGTGGGGTACGTGTCGGCCTCAGTGGGTAGAGTGTGCGATCTTGATCTCGGGGTTATGAGTTCGAGCCCCAACATACGTTGGGTGTAGAGATCACTTCAAAAAATAAGAGCTTAAAAAAAAAATAAGGTGCAAGGAAAATAGCAGAAGCTACATATTTATTTAAAGCAATTTAAGAGCTAAGTCAACCAATTGCAGGGTATGGACCTTTACAAAATTCCTGAATCAAGCAAACCGTGGGAAAGGAAAAGAAGATCAGGAAAATGTAACACTGGGTGGATATTTAGTAATAGTAAGAGATTATTGATCACTTTTTTGAGCGTGATAATGGTGTTGAGGTTACATTTCGAAGGGATCCTTACGTTCCGGAGATGCGTTAAAATATTGATGGAAGAAATGATATTGTTGTGGAAAACCCGCCTCCGTGCTTCAGAACCAGAATGTACCAGGAAGACAGAATTTGGGATAAAGAGGAACGGCTGGCTTTATTGCCTTGCCGGGCAGCCTGTGGCCTTCCGAAACCTGGAAGCCCATCTAGTGGAAGGGGCTGCAAGGTTTTGTAGGGAAATACAGGATCTCACTGGTTTTGGCAGGAATTTTGTCCGCGACACTAGCCTGGTTCATTACGTTTCCCGGGTGGTACCTGGGTCCTGAGAGAAAAGGCTAAGAAGGGAGGAGGGGAGGTTTGGGGAAGAGAGGAGAAAGGCTCCTTTGAAATCCAGCTTCAGGGAAGCATTCTTGCGGCCATTTTGATTCTTGTGCCACTTTCTGCTTTTAAAGGGTTTCAGGGTGACCTCTGGGATTTGCTTCAGCGTTACCAGGGAGGGCAGTGCAAGGTAGGATTATGGCTGAAGCAAGTTAACTTTTGAAGCTGGGTGATCGGTACAGGAACTTATTCTGTCACCCCCTCTCTCTAATTCTTACAGGTTTGAAATTTCCACAATAAAACATGTAAAGTAATGTCTTTAAAAGTGCCGTGCCATGGATATTAGTTTAAATAAAGGAAGTTTTGAAACCGGTAGAAATATAATAGATGTCTTGATAGTAAAAAGATAGTCAAACGTTTACATTCTCTAAATTCCAGAGGGAAGGAGGGAAGGAGGGAGGGAAGGAAAAACCAGGGCCAATACACAAACTTTTTCAGTATTTGTATAGTCTTAAAAAGTGATGAAAGTAGTAAGTCTCGGTCACCCAAAATTACTACGACGTAAGGTCAATTTAAGGCATTTTTACTTAGAGTTCTGGTAAGATGCCCGGAGAGGCACAAGCAAGAAATCCCGTGTGGAAGAGCGGATAGCCCACTGAACAACCTGCAGCAAGCTCGCAGCCACCTCGCAGCCACAACCAGCAATGGCAGGCCCACCGGTCCTAGGGCTGCGTGCCCTGGGCAGTGGGCAGCTTCAGCCCCGACAGCTTTCAGCAGGGAGCAGTTGCAGGGCTAGGGCCCGCAGGGGGGAGTGCTGACAGCCCCCCCGGCCCACAGCCCGCGGGACAAGGTTCACAGACACTGCAGATCGGTGTATTTCTTACCCCATTTCCCGGGATAGGGCCGTAGTCTCGTTTCCTAGCAAAATCCTTCAACGTGGTCATATCCTAACAAAATCCAGACGCCCTCTGGTGCAGCGGGGCCGTGGAGTGACCGCCTGCCCCGACTGAGCATGCCCAGCCCCCGGAGCACTACCAGAGTTCTTTTAGGGGCCCTTTTGACTCTTTCAACTTGCCACATCCTGCCATCCCTGCACTTGGCTTTTCTAGTATGTAAAAGGGTGGGTTGTCCTTGCACTTCTCAGAATTCTCCATCTCCGTGTCTCTTCATTGAAAATATCACAGACTTTCTTTTCTCCTACTCTTCTTACTTTTCCTGTTTTTCTCTTAAATGTCGAAAAAGCACCCTATCCTGGAAAACAAACCTGGAAGCTTGTTCTTGGGTTTGATGCACTAAACAAATGAACTGTTTTCCACTGAGTAATCGTCTTTCTGTTCCCGTGGAAATATAGGTTAGTTATGCATGAGCAGGGCTGCCCGTTTTGATGTGGGACGTGTTTCAGGTATAGGTGAGCCCCCGGTGATGAACCGATCCGCTGCAGGGAGCCTCTTTCCCGTTGCATAAATACAGGCCTGCAGCCCGAGTGCGAGCTGTCACAGGCCAACCTCCTGAATGCAATTCAGGAGAAGTGACACGCGGCCATCGCTCATGTTAGCACCTATTTGTGCAACGATATTGTTTGAAATAATCGACCGATTCATCAAAGGCAGCAGCGGACTTGGGGTGGCGGGGCGGGGGGGAAGAAGGTGCTTTTTCAGCACTAAGGAAAGAAATGACATTTGTGTTTACCATTTGTCAGCTTTAAATAGTCAATACATGTTTGCCATGACTTCCAAATTTTGAGGTGTGATTTCACCTATAAGCACATGCAATCTTTAAGATTTACAGAGAGGGTGTTTCTTCCGTAAACACTCAGCTTTGATAATTATCAGGAGAACGATTCATTCTGTCTCAGAAGTTAAATGCATGATAAATGGAATGCCTCTTAGGGGTTGCAATTTTCTAAATGTAAAGAATGCCTATTTCTCTGATAATCACCTCAAATACATTAATAATAATTATAAGCATTTCAGAGTGGCAGAGTGGTAATAACCCCTGTGTATAGAATTGTATGATCTCTATATGAAATTTTGTTTTCGTTCTCAGAGCAGACGTCACAAAACCCAGAATTATCTTAGTGTTTCCGAGGACCCTCGCCCGGAGAGTCCAGCCTGGTAAGAGCTCATGGGGTCAGTCAGCTCCCCGCTCTGCCACCCTGAAAGCCAACGGGAACCTGGAATCCAAAGAATGTGTTTGCATTACCCAAGAACTCTGGCTTTACCAGGAGGTCCACGCTGGGATTCCATTCGAGTGACTTGACTGAAGGCATCTCATGACTCATTACTTAGTTCCCACAATCGGTTTGAGAACTTGTTTATGTTACCGAGAGGGTGGGGAGCCCAGTTAGGAGCCTCTGACAATTGACCATCAACAATAAGATAAACATGCCTGAAGTGATCACAGTGTCCCCGTGACACTTGAGCTGGAGGGAATCAAGAGATCATCGAGGCCTTTCCGATTTTCCAAATGAGCACATGGGAAAGGTCACCCCAAAGTCACTCCGGGAAATCTGCCTGCCTGTGATCCCATTCACCGCTCCTGGCACCGGCTGGTCCTTCGACGGTGCTTAATGAGTGCTGGTGTAATTGAAAGAATACAGCTTGGATGCACATCCTTTTCTGTCAGACACTCCGTTCTAGAAACACACAGGCCTGTCCTTCGGCCCTCCTCCCATGCTATCTCCTCCTCTGGCCACAGCACAACAATTACCCACCGAGAGAGAGAGATCAGAGCAAGCCACCCACCTGTCCTGGGCCCCAAGACACCTGGGAGCACCTGCTCTCTGGGACCCACAGTGACTCTGCTTTCTCCCCCAAACGAACCACGTTTGGGTACCTTTTCCAACCGTGTGACGGCCGGCAGCCCGCACGTCTGGGACAGTCGTTCATTTTAACGCAGGGAGGCCTGGCTCCTTTTACTCATTTTCTAGCAAGAGGATAAAACCATGTTGTCTAGGGAACGGGATGAGAGGAGAGGGGTTTGGGAACTGGGAATTTTATTCTGGCTCAGATGCTAATACTCCTGTGACCTCAGCCAAGCCCTATAAATTGTTACTATCTGCAAAGTGAAGATAATGGACAGGCCCTTTCCTCCCCCAGGAGAGTCCTGGGGATTAATTAGGCAGCTCATTTGAGATTCAAAGTGCTGTGAGCCCACAGGAAAAGTGACTGGAGAACAAAGGGGGCTCACACTCATTCTAGCAGCCGGGGACCACACCAAAGACACTCTCAGGAATCCATTTGGTGGCACACCAGTCTTTGTTAATTAACCGGTATGAGGAAGTCATTATGGCGACCAGGGGTTAATGGAAAGTTTGAACTTGCTCAAATCGGCCTACAGAGGTGTAAATCCAGGGCTCCTTTGTTCTGGAGGAGGGTTGGGCCCTCCAGCCTCAAACCTAACTGGAGGATGCTTCCTGGCCTTTCCAGCACCGTTTAGAAACCCCAAGCAAGTAGCTGGGAACTTGAACAGTTTCTTTTTCAATGAAAGATGAAATCTTCTAATTCTTACTGTGTCAGAAACAAAAGTTCTTCTTAAAAAAATAAACAGGAAGATAACAAGTTAACTAGTACTCCTTCCATCATCCTTTCACCGGAAGGTTCCATCTGGTACTCAAGCAGCGGCACAGTGTGAGCCCTCACTCACATGCACACGCTCACACTCACACGCACACTCATGCACATGCACACGCCCACGCACACGCGCACAGACACGTTCACACACACACTCACTCACTCACACACACTCAAATAAGGAGGCTAGCACGAAACCAGAAGAACACATTGGGAGGATCCCAGAGGAGTCCTCAGTTGGCCACTGGAAGAGCAAATGTGAAGGGCATGGGAGGGAATGAAATAGATCTGGAATTTTTGAAACATGGTAGCTTTGCAAGAGAAGCCCAGAGGAATACAAACCAGTTGAGAAAGTTATGAACGGAAATGAGAGGTTTGTCTTTTTATTAAAGGCAGGTATCTTTGCAGGGCCAATTTCGTGAGGGTTACTAGGGGGAGGGAGGGGTGCTGATAAAGATCCAGAGGACAGCATTCCTGGGCTGGCTCCCACCCCCCTCCCCCATGGAGCCCAGAGCCAGAGGTGGGTCAGATGTTCCAGTGCAGACTCCTCTAACCAGTTGCGACCAAACAGCCTGTCTGAATGGCGCTCAATATAGACAGCCCGTGAGAAAAGCATATCCTCAGGTCCCTTCCCCCTGACAGAGCCTGCATTCCAGCTTGCCCCTTCCCAGGAGCCAGGAAAAGACGTCAGAGAAAGGCAAGGGCAAGCTGACCCTGAAGCAGGACAGGAATAAACGGGAAGAAGCCCGTTCCAGGAGAAGGAAAGCGTGACCTTTTCCATCCGTTCCTCTGGCTTCTCTGGTCCCAGAAGGCAGCTCCCATGCAGAGGGTGCATTATTACACCATCCTCACAAGGAGGACCCACCACCGGCTAATCACGGAGAGATCTTGGCAAACGCAGACCCTGCTCCTGAGGCTGCTCTCACCGAGGGGACGTTCTCTGTCTACACGGGAGAGCTCTCCGGAGAGAAAAGACTCTGTTTTCAGGATTACTAACCACCGGCAGTAAGAACCCAGAGCTGGGGGTCCTTGGGCTTTCTCTCTGGTCTTGGAATTTCTGAGTCTGGGGCTGCCAGAGCTTGTCATGGAGGGGTGCACCTGCCTCTTTAGGGTAAGTGAGGCCTTGCCGGACCAGCCTCTGTGTCTCAGGACCGGAAGCCTCCCGGGCAGAGAATGCCGGGGGAGGGCTGACCTTCCAAGAGAGGAACTGAGTCCACATTTCAGTGCTTCCTCCCTCCTTCCAGCTCAGCAAGACCAGAGAATGCAGATTTAAAGACTTAGAAAAGCCAAATCTCTAGAGGAAGGGGTATCCCATGGGACAGCATCTGTGGTGCAGACGTAAACACAGAAGTGGTCTAGCTTGAGAAAGTGGCCAGGCCCTTCTGGGGTCTCTGAATGCCAACCCCACAGCCTCCCCTCCCAGTTCACTGGCCTTCTACGTCTTCTCTTTTGTCCTCGGCCCGTGGATCAGCAACCATGGGAAAGGGAAGCAGAATCCTCCCACATCCAAGCCCGAACATGGCCCCGAGGGGTACTGAAGGAGTTTGAGAAAAAGGGCAGAAGGAAGCTGGCCACTCGGACCTGCCCCCACCCAGCCCGGGACAGGTGCAGACCCTCCCGGTAGAGAGGCGCCCTAGCTGATGTCCGAAGAAAGGCGCGTCCCTAATGTCCTTATCTCGGACGACTCGGGACCAGCAGGCCGTGCTAAGTCTGCTCGCGCCCCTCCCGCCCTGGACTTGTCCTGTTCCTCCGCGGCTGCCCCTCGCCTCATCCAGCCCAGGTCAACACTCACCTCTGCTTCCTCACCTCCTCCCTTCCCCCGCTTACTTAATATAGAACTCGTATTAAATAAATCTGTGTGCTTTTCCCTGGGAGCCTCTCTCTGTCAGCCAGGGCCCCCGAGAGGGTCAAGGAAAGCACTTCCCTGTCCTGCCCCCGCTGCTGGTCCCGCGCTGCATGACCACGGGAGCTGCCCCCTCTCTGACCTCACAGGCTCTGTATGTCTCTCAAAATGGGAAGCTCGGGGCTCTGCGGGCCCCGGCCTTCCCCCTCCGGGTGCGGCCTGCCTTAAAGAGGGAGTCCTGGGGTGCTGGCTGTGTCTGCCTGGGCCCCAGTGGGACCCTGGAGCAGACTCTCAGTGCCCTTGGCTGCCAGACTCTGCAGACGCTGTGCGGGAGGATGCCCTGCCCCCTCCCCCATTCACCAGCTCTCCCCTCACCATTCTGTAAATCAAGGAAGGTTTGAGAGCCACTCTTCGGGAAGAAGTTTAAAAACAAAAACGTTGCCCGTTCATACAGATTTCTCACCTCCAGAAGTGTTCAGGCAGGTGACTTGGAGCCCAACTGGCCTGGGCCCAGGGCCCAAGACTCGCTAAGTGGACCCCAAAAAGCTTGGAGTCCTGTGCAGGCCAGTGTGTTCATCCGTAAGCTCGCAAGGGCCATGGTGCCTCCTTCTTACTGTGGCTGTGCCTCAAACCCGGGAAGAATGCACAGACCTTAACTGCCGTCATTATTGATTCTCCTTCAGGGCGCACTCCCACCCAGGTAACAGGAGGGTAGAGGGGCAGGACATTAGACAAGCAGTTATGGACGATGTCCCAGGACTTTTATCTCTAAGATTTTAGGATTATTTTTACCTAGAGTATGAAGTATACCATCAGTTATTCATTCTACAAACATTGAGTGCTTAGGATGAGAAGGGGTGACTGTAGTGCTGGGTCTTAGTCCTGTTTCCTCTTATGTTATTATTTTGGTACCAGGAAAACATCACTGACGCTGCTGGAGAGAGGACACGGACCGGCCAGTCACGCGAGGCAGGACTGAGGTGGTTAGTCAGGTAGAGAAGGCACAGTGACCCAGCAGAGGGCTGAGTCCCCTGAATTTGGTAATACAGTGACAGCTTGTCCGCAACCACATCAGAAGGAACGTGGTCCTGATCTTGCAAAGGCTGGAATGTATGAAGGATCTACAGAAAACCTTCCAGAGCTTTGTTCTGTTGCAGTGACCAGAATGGAGGCGTTGGGCCTTGAGGGGTGACAAGGGACGGGTGGCTTCGTGAGCCAGGGATGAAGCCAAGAGCTAGGGCCCAGCAAGTGGAGGAGAGAGCAGGGCTTAGAGAACCCCTGGAGGGAACGGACTGGCCCCTCGTAGGCGGCTAGATGAAATACGGGGCAGCCTTGCAGGTGTGAGTGGCAGATACACAACCAGTAAGTGCTCAGCGTAAGTATGTCCAAGTATTACATGTCATGTGCTTAGGCCTTCCTATCCATTCTGTTTCTCCAGAGAATCATCAACCCTGAGAGATGGTGAGACTGTGGGGCTGGCATGTCCAACATCTGCAGGTGGCTAGGGGGCTAGAGATCCACCAAACTACGGACATTGCCATTTGAGCCCGAAAGCTGTCTGCTGGTGGAATTCCCTCCTCTTTCAGAGAGGCCGAAAGAGGCTTCTATTGGAGCCTTCAACTGATTAGATGAGACCCACCCACAGGATGGGAGGTAAGCTGTTTTATTCTAAGTCTACTGATTTAAATGCTAATCTCATCTTAGAAATACCTTCACAGAGACATCTAGAATAATGTTTGATCAGAGATCTGGGCACCGTAGCACAGCGAAGTTGATGCATGGAATTAATTATCCCATTAGGAAAGAGAGCTGGCTGAGCCCTGTGTTTGAAAATCTAGTGAATCTGCAGTGATTTGCACGCATTCATGGGAAGCTAATCCCAGAAGTGTTGAGTCATAAAGCAAAACAGCAAACATACACTGCAGCTATCAGAAGTGCTCTGGGCATATGTTTTGCTAATGAGGAAATCTTTTTTTTTAAGAATTGGTCACCTAGAGATGTTTTGTTTTGCTTTGCTTTTTCCTTCTTCTCCTTTGAAAGGGCACAGCCTTCTGGAGCCAACTGAAATTAGATGTCTCTGGATCGCTACAGACAAAACAAGTCACTGTATCCAACTCTTACTCATTTGCGCACAGAGGCACAGGGTGGGCCTCCCATTCAAAGGCCAAGTTTAGCTCAGCCATCTCTCCTGTGCGAAGGTGGCAGCCGTGGGCCACGTGGACCTTTGACGACTGTTTCACTACAAGAGATGTCGTGGCGAAGGCATCTGAATATTATGATGTTGAAGATCTGGAACCCGGGGAAGCTTTCTGTGTACAGAGGGGAAGCGTCCTGCAGATTAAATGTCCCCCAGGGGTGGAGCTTGCTGGGGGGCAGGGCCGGCCACGAAGTCCCCGCGCCAGCTTTCGAGCACCCTCCCGTCTTGTGCCCATGTAGCTTGCAGCCCCTACGAGGTGTCCTCGGAATCCGCCTATCACACAGTAAATCCATTCTGGAGAATACACTCAAAACCCCAAACCCCAAAACCCTTTCCCCTAAAACGTCCTCGACAAGAAATAAGGAGTCTGAATGGTTAGCATGGAGAACATCTGCCCCACCCCAGGCTTTGTTTTATTCGCCTTCTTTGGAGATTGAGAAAAACTTTGTCCTTAGGTTCCAGAGGGAGACAAGGGGGTCTTACTTCTCCAAACCCCGTGTGAGAAATGGGAGGGTTTGAATCCGACCAGAGCTGGCTCTACGGAACCTTCCCTGTGGACGAGGTCTGCTCCTTCCCAAATAGCCCACGTGAGGAAATGTCCCCGGACCAATCTCGATTCTTGTCTTATGTTACCAGAAAGGCTTTAGACAAATGACCCTCCCGCTGTGTTCTCACCCTATTCCCAGGCACACATACGAATAACAGTGAACCTGGCAGGAAGCGGTTAATTCTTACTTCGCAAGTGTTCACCGTGGGCCAGACACTGCTTAAGAAATTTGCAATACTAACTTTTTTTTTAATCCTAACAGCAACCCTATGAGGTGGGCACTCCACACAGCATCTGGCTTCAGAGCTCATTCTGTTTCCCATAAGAAAGCATCGTTTGGGGACATTTCGAAAATGACAACTGACACACAAAACAAAACGTCCTAGGACGCTTTAAAAAGTGTTTTCACAGAACTCATCTTATTTCGCCTCCATTAGGATGGGACGGGTGAGGGAGAGCAGCCTGGGAGAGGTGGAGGGTCAGCCTGGCCTCCCCCAGGGTTCTTGGGAAAGCTGTCTGCCTGCCTGGGTGCAGGTCCGCTGACTGCGTCAATCCCACACAGTGTCAGAAATCCGGTCCCCGGCTTAGCGTCAAGGTCTTCCCAAACTCAAGCAAGCCAAAAAGAAATTCATTATCTTTCCTCCACAAGCCATCCCTCCCAACTCTCTTCCCAACTTGTCAGCGATGGCCAGCTGTCTTCTGGTCCCCCAGGCTCAAAACCTAACCTTCATTTGGGGTCGTCTCTCTTCTTCTCCCTCTCGCATCCAAACCGGGCTCTCAGCATGTCCTCCGGAAGGCATGTGTGCAACGGAGAAACCGCGCTCGCCCGGCAAGACCACAGCGCGCTCTGGCCTGGGGGCGCAGTGATGGGAAAAGCAAGGTGGTCCAGAGGTCATGGTTTTATAGTCTCATGGAGGGGATGCAACCGGGACACAGATCGCAGTGAGTCAGGGTAAGAAATGGCAGGGACCCAAGAGAGGAAACACACATCAGACCCTCGCTGATGTGGTGAAGGGTCTCGGAGCAGGACATGCTCTCACCTCCACGCGGCTGCGACAGAGGAGCGGGCGGCCTGGGAGCAGAAGTTGAATGACTCAGAACCTACAGATACAGGGGGGCAGGGCTGGGGCTCGGAGGGGAAGTGGCAGGAGACAGCCATGAAGGGTCTTCTCCGACTGTTTAGGGCGCAGTGAAGGTCATCAGAAGAAGGAGGTCTTAACGTTAAAACTTCTTAAAATTCCCTTCTTCTTCCTCTCTGGCTGCGGCAGGATGACGCGGGCCGAGGCCCTTGCCACCTGCTCCTTGCGGGGCTCCTCTGCCGCCCCGCCCCCTCCCAGCCCTGCCGGCCCCCCCCCTGCAGAACGGGGCGGGCGGCCCCGCGCACCCCCGCCCGCCGGGGCGCTCACCACTGACCCACTGCTGTACGCGTTGCACCCACTGCCTCCTTCTCCCGTTTCCAGAAGAACTGTGCTACAGAATTTAAAGCCACCTCGCTCCCCTGTGCTTTGCAGTCCATCTCATCTCACCTACTCAGAAATCATAGATGGTTCTCGCTTCCGTCTTGTGTGTCTAGCCTTTTCTTCACTCCGGGACCCTTCGAATCTCCGTGGAAATATCCCCAAGTCTTCCTCGTTACCAAAAAAAGAAAAATCCCCCCAACACTGCCTCGGCCCGTCGGTCCCCCAGCTGTTTCTCTGTGACCATCGTGTCCCCAGCACGTACTCTCCACGGACTCGCTTTCCAGGCGGCCGGGCAGGCCCCCAGAGCTCACGCAGGTGATTGCGCCCCCCATGGTGCAGCTGGGCTGCGGGGAGCAGAAAACCCGAGGAAGCCAATTACTGTTTATGCGGAATTAGTTTTACGTCTCGGGAAGCCCAAGGCTGACAGGGTGGTTCCAAGACGCCGAGAGCGACCCGGGCCATTCCATCTTTTGCTGCGGTGCCCTTCTTAGCAGGTCACTTCATCTTCTGACGGTTGCAAGATGGCTGTTCTGCTGTCAGCCAGCCCTCTGGCTCCAGGCAGGGACGAGGGGGAAGAGCCAAGGGCAAGGGCCAAGTGTGGTCTTTCAAATCCCCCAGAGGAGTTCAGAGGCCAGGGAGCCCCTGAACCAGGCCTCATGGCCCGGTCGCCACTGCCGTCGGGGGACATGACGCCTACCCAGACGAAAGTGGGTTCTCTTGGGAAGGGCACAGAGGGTGAGACTGGACAGGCCTGTTTTCTGCCCTCACCAAGCTCTCCACTGATGACCTCAGGTGCCATCTAACTGGGCTTCTTGGAAGCCTTCTCTCTTCTTGAGTTACTTTCTGGCGGCTTCCAGGGCAGGATGCTCTGCCGGGATTTCTTCCACTTCTTGGGCTATTCCTCCCCAGTCTCTTCCGCAGGCTCGCCCTCCGCTGCCTGACCGTGCTGCGGCGTGTCCAGTGTTCCCGCACCCACGGCTCCCAGCTGCCAGGCAGACCCCAGGCTTCGAGCAGCAACAGCACAGGCCAGTGGCTGCCCAGAAAGGGAAGCGGTTGCAGACGGCCAGTTACGGCACTGGTGTGGAGGCTCAGGGGTACCGGGGCCAGGATGCCTCCAGCATCTTGGAGGCACCTCCTCGGCCCTCCCTTCATGGTGTCAAGATGACTCTTGCAGTTGTGGTGAGAGTGAACAACGTCTAAACCTCCTCAGCTTGGATTCTAATGTCCTCCCTACTTGTCCTCATTCTTCTGAGTTGATCCTACCTCCACACACAGCACGCACCCTCTCCAGTCCCCAGCAGGAGGTCACTGAGCCACTGCTGGTTGCAGCTTCATCCTCACGGTGCGAGGGGGGCGCGAGGGCGATGCTGCCCTGCCCACATCCACTGCAGCCCCCAGAGTGGTTCCTTCACCACTTCCTGGAAGTGACCCTTCTCCTCGAGCACAAATCTGATCATGCCATCCCCAAGGGTTTAAACACCTTTGCTGTACATCAGGGTAGGCCCAAACCCCTGACCTTGTTCTGCTGACCCTAACTTCCTCTCCAAAGTCTTCTTCTAGAATGCCCCGTGCCGTCTCCTCCGGCCCCCACCCCAGTCCCAGAATCCCCTGTGGCAGCTCCTGCACTCCCCACTCATTTGTCAGCTTTCCTCTCCCTGGATTACACGTTTCTTCTAAAGCACAATGTTTCATCCATAAAGAGAACACTGTTTATTTTTCTTCTTGGTGTATTTTATTCTATCTATTGGTTTTAGGTGGATGCTCAATCCCTGCAGTAGTATGTTCCTATCTGACCCACCAGAAGCGTGTGTTTCTTTACTATGACCCTACCACGGAGTGGCTGTCCGTGTTCTAACAGCATCTTTTCAGCAGCCTGCATATTGCGGGGCGAAGACCTGGTGTTCCAACTGCAACTCTATACACTTGCTCAATCCCATAGTTCATGAACAAAAGATGCATACTTTTTTCACATGTTAACATGTCTAAAATCAGTCTTTCAATCCATTTTATGTTGGCATTTTATTCAATGGTGTGTTATATTGTTAGTAGGCCAAACTTTGTTTATAGTACAGAATATCATGGTATATCTTGCACTTGATAATATCTCAGATTTGATGAACTGGATCATATGAGCTCGGCTGAATCACTTGACCTTGCACTGCCCAAACTCTCATCTGCACAGCGCGGTGATTCCCCAAGCTTTGGTACTCGTGGTAAATAAAGAAAGATGACCACACGAAGCACTTGAAACAGTGGTATCAGGCACAGACCACTCAATAATGTCAGCCATCCAACAAGAATGATTTCTGTTGGTTCCCTTTGTCCCTAGTTCTTAGCGTAATATCTGGCTCACCCTGCCACTAATCATGTATTTGGTCAGTGTGGAATAGACGAGAAGAAAACCAAGCACAGCATGCCCACCCCCACCTGGCTGACATATGCTTATTCCTGATCTATTCAACAAGAGATTCTTTTTGTCTGTATTCCTGTTCTTTTCAACACAAGATCCATTCCCCGTGGTAGACCTAGAAAGACCCCACTGTCCAAAATTCCACCTATTCAATCAGCAAATATTTAGTTTACTATGTAAAAGTCATAAAATTCTAAATAAATTTTAAGACACTTCTAATAATATCTCTAAAAATATAAAATGTAAAAAATTTTACCCTTGCCCCTCCAATTCTACCCTCCAGGAGAAAATCATTATGTTCAGTGTAGATCTTTCCAGGCTCTCTATTGTTGCAAATAGTATGAACTGAATAAAACAGTGATTGTTTGAGAAATGAAATGAGCGATTTCAGACACCAAAATAAGACTGAATCCCATCTGACCAGTGGCGTCCCGGCTCGGGTTTGCACCGCCAAGTCCCTATCCTGACTTCTCCCCTCTTGGCTACCTCTTTTAACCTAGTCCCTCCTATGACCCTCTCCCTGCTCACATGCACACCCCGGAAAGTCGTGTCTACTTCTCCACCGCCTCCATATTTCTCGGAAGTCTCTTCCCAATAATTACAAAATCTGGGGACATCTGGGGGGAGTAGAGTGGACTTCTTTCCTTGGTGACAAGCTGGTCTTGAAGGGAAACTTGTTCTAGATGTTTTTCAGAGTGCAGAAGAAGGGCCACTGAGTCAGAAGACCACTCCCTCGGGGCGCCTGGGGGGCTCAGTCCGTGAAGCATCTGCCTTCCGCTCAGGTCAGGATCCCAGGGTCCTGGGATCGAGTCCCACATCAGG